AGCAGTTTTAGAATAGATTTAATACCATGGAAATTTTTCGAGTGGGGGTGATTGTCCGTGGGTTTATTGTCCAGGGAATGATTGTCTGGGGTGAATGTGAGAGGGGGAATTGTTCGGGGGGTGATTGTCCGTGGGTTTATTGTCCAGGGAATGATTGTCTGGGGGTGAATGTGAGAGGGGAATTGTTCGAGGGGGGTGATTGCCCGTGGGTTTATTGTCCAGGGAATGATTGTCTGGAGTGAATGTGAGAGGGGGAATTGTTCGAGGGGGGTGATTGCCCGTGGGTTTATTGTCCAGGGAATGATTGTCTGGAGTGAATGTGAGAGGGGGAATTGTTCGGGGGGGGTGATTGTCCGTGGGTTTATTGTCCAGGGAATGATTGTCTGGGGGTGAATGTGAGAGGGGGAATTGTTCGGGGGGCGTGATTGTCCGTGGGTTTGTTGTCCAGAGAATGGTTGTCTGGGGTGAATGTGAGAGGGGAATTGTTTGGGGAAGGAGCGTAATTGAACGGGAGTTAATTGTCCGGGGGTAATAGTCAGGTGGTGATTGTCTGGGGGTCGGTGAGGGGAGGGTAATTGTACGGGGGTAATAGTCAGGTGGTTATTTTAGAACCTATACATATACACATATATAATATATTACTACTTCAGGATTGTGCTGTTCCAAACTAATACTAATACAAACTAATATAATGGAATGGAAATATAGATACAACTTCCGTGTGTGCGCAACAGAAATAACCGTGAATATAAAATCACAGACGACATTGTCAGATAATGGCTGCTCGAGAAATGCCACGCCAGCGTCAACACACAAATTCACAGCTTCAGCGGTCACGTGAGAACGTCATGTGACCAAGCGGCTTCTTTGCATGTAATACACATCACACGCACGCACGTACGAGCGCAGCGCGCACGAACGCACGCACATGCATATACCCGTAACTTCTATGCATTTGAGCCATCATGGCATCATAGACGTTAAACATTGTCGATGTTAAACATTATACAACGGCGTCGGAGCAGCACTTATATTATAACCATCTAGCTGCCTGGTTTTTGTTATATTAGAAATACACAAATGAGAGATGATTTCTAATTTACATAATCCTGCGTATATTATAGCTATGTGGCTTTCTTTTTTGTTACCTTTATGCAAAATGCACTTCTCATAGCCGATGATTTAATTTCCACTTTAGATGACTAATAAACTATGACTAATTTTCCAGTATGTTTATTCATAATCGAGCTAGTCTATTTTAATAATATTTTTTTTAGCATTTTCATAATTAACGTGTATGTAAGAGTAAAAGAATACTGCACGAAACTACTGCACTAAAACTTATAGTGAAATAATAAAATATTAATACAGTGTAAGTGAAAGACTATACTTTCGTCGACGATAATACCTTTACATCAGAGAAAATTACAGACAAGTGCACGCATAAAACGTAATTAATTTTCTTTGCAAACCTCATATAACTTTACGCCTTATTGTTAGCTTCTAAGAATTGTATCGTAGAAATAGTATTTCCTTCCCAATGTCTCCGTACAAACAACATGATCGCTTCACAAACGCGACAGCTTCTTGTTTCTCGCGCGGAGCTGTCGCCTCAGAATCTTTCCGGATGCCGACTTGGGAATCTCGCTGACAAACTCGATGCCTTCTCGTAGCCGCTTCTGCGCCACCACGTGCTCTTGCAGGTAGCTGTGCAGATCCTCTTCACACATCTTCATACACATCTTCTTTCACCGCCGGCAGGTCTAAGGCTGTCTACCTAGGCTGTCTACCTAACGTAAACCTAGGTTTAACCTAACCTAGGTTTAACGTAACCTAGGTTTAAGGCTGTCTACCTAACGTTACCGGCTGTCTACCTAACGGACGCGGGAAAACTGACTGTCTACTTAAGGACTGCCTTTACATACGGACGTATATATTACAATTTTAGCAAATGTGTTCTTAACAACACATTTAAGCTTTATCATATTTAAAAATGTTACAAGTCAATAGACTGAGGACACCTCTACTAGATAAACACGACATAATTATAAATTTCATTAAGAAAACGAAGTTATAGCATGCTAAACATTAGGTAGACAGCAAATATGTCTACCTAACAAATCTGTCTACATAACGGCTGGTTTTTTTTACACCCGATGTCTACATATGGTAGGATTAAGATATATATATATAATATATATATATATATATATATATCCGTGTGTGCGTGCGTGCGTGCGTGCGTGCGTGCGTGCGTGCGTGCATGCATGCGTGCGGCGTGTGTGTGTATGTGTATGTGTGCGTGTGTGCGTGTGTGTGTGTGTGTGTGTGTGTGTGCGTGTGTGTGTGTGTGTGTGTGTGTGTGTGTGTGTGTGTGTATGCTTGTCTGTATGTTTGGGTGTCTAAATGATTGTCCGTCGGTTCGTTTTTTCGCTATATTGGTGAATTAATTGGTTGACCAGTCAACAGAGTCCATGCATCTATTTATCCATCATGTTAACATGGTGAGATCGGTTAGGACATCATAACAAACGGTGATGTTTCTCGCCAAATAAATTTATTTTCATAACGGCTCGGTGCTATAGCCGTAAATCTAGAATTTTCAGAACACATAATTGTAGTCGAAATATATAGGCTTACATGTGTAGCTGCAGGCGTGTACGCTGCAGATGTTCGACGTATGTTGAGAGCAGGAGCGTGTGAGCACTGTGTACACTTGGTGTGTGGGTGGAAACTTGTGTTCATGTTCGAGCGTGTTTGTGTGTCAATTGTCGGCACAGAGGTGAAATCGGTGTATGTAGTGTATCTGTATGAGTGAAAAGCGAGACTGTAGACATACCATGGGTTTATTTTACTCAATCGTGTTGAACGTTAGGTATTTTCCTGTTTTGGGGTGACTGTAAGACACCTCCAGTTTGAAAGCGGTTATGAGTGTCCTACAAAATGTAGTTCCTGTAATATTCTTATTTCTCGTATAAATGTCGAGGTCCATTGTGTGTCCTATGTATTTTTGAAAGGAGAGTGGTGTACGAATTACTGCGTAAATCCATACAAGTTTATCTCATTGTAGTTTTGTATGTTCCAGCGTATTAATACATGTATTGGGTGAGGGACTTGTGTTTTTGTGCGACCATATGCTTTCGACCTGGCGGGTTTACGATTTTTTCAACCAGAACTTGCAGAAGGCTCAAAGTCGTTGACTGTAACGGCGGGTCAATAAACGAGACCCGTGCTGACAATAGCTCTACTTGTGAATTCTCTCGAAACCTGCGACCCGCCGTTACAACATGCATAACCTTTCCATTTCTTTTGTGATGCCATCATTCTATGCGCGAACATCGCGTGTGATTTAGCGCATTTTCTCACTGAATTGCGTTCCGTTTTTTAATTATAATATTCATCGCCTCAAAGCATTCAGGGATGATGGAAGGCTAAATACTGATTTACGCTAAGCAGCGATGTCTGTCGCAATAATACAAGTGAATGATTTAAGCGTCCTCCTGTTATAATTGTTCCGTAGTCCACACAAAATACAATGAGAATTTTTGCTTCGCGCAAATATCAAAGCAGCTGGCTTGCCATTATCTGGCATCGAGGGAGTTATATATGCGCTTACACCGTAATCCTTAGTTGCGTGTATGAATTTCAGCGGGTGTGTATTCTAACAACGATTGAGATTGAGATTGAGTCCAAACTTACGGTCACGTGGACGGGGTGTAAGCTACATTCATATGTTTATTTCAGGGCTACACTCTAGTTCCAAAGGCGAAGTTTCATCGGCCATGTATTCTCGCATTGTGCCATATCGTGTGACGTTCGCTCATTAATTTTGAACCCAGCTGGAATCAATAAAGGTTATACACGGTGTCACGTCTCGTTAGAAGTACAAGTAATGCTCGGCTACGACCACGGGTATGCGCGATTTCACATGAGATGACATTTCTCGATGCACCACACACCTGCGTCAAATGATGAGTATGAATCGAAAAGAGATGTGAAATATTGCGACGCTTGATGCGCTGATCCTTTCATTCTTTACGTCAAGGTTTTCTACACGGTCTAATACTGAGCGGCTTCGTCGAATGCGCCATTCCGGTTTCGTTGAGCTATAGCACTAGCCGCTATTTACCAACTGCTCCTTGCATGGTGAATAGACGCACACATGGTATGCGCTCGTTTTGGCATTCGCACTGTGATTTTGTTATGTTGAATGTGCGTAAACGAGTGTATACATTTCACATGGGCACGATAAGCGTGATTTTGTTTGTGATAATTGCGTAAGCCAAAAATTACCAACATCGTCTGGCTGTCGACGGAGACTTTATTTATTCATTCGACTAAATATATGTGTGCCGAATATATTATGCACTTATCATGCAGTAATATGTAAACCTCGACACATGGGCAGCTCTCTTATGCTTACTACAAAGATTAGAGATGAACCGAAACGTCGTATGTATACATTGTATATTGTATACCATGTATACATTGTATATTGTATACATTGTATATTGTATACATTGTATATTGTATACATGTATACATTGTATACATTGTATATATCGCATGTGCCGGGACTTACATAATTTCACGTTGACATGCAGAATATTGTATGTCGCGTCGGTATAGAAAATACTGTGTATATGCGCATCATAATTATGCTGTAGCAATTGCTCACAGATGCACTGCGGGTTTTACATTTTCGATATATGCGGGTAAAACACGCATGCGGCTGTACCCGCGCCAGCCACTCTCCTCGTGCGGCACTTACAGCGACGTGAGATGGAGGAACCGTGATTAGAGGAAGAAGACAGATAGGAAAAAGGAAATAATCAGGATGAGGAAGAGCGTGAGAGCGACAGCGAGTGAAAGAGAGTGATAGAGTGTGTGCGAGAGAGCAAATTTAAAGAGGAAATAATGAGAGATAAAGAGAGAGAGAGAGAGAGAGAGAAAGAGAGAGAGAGAGAGAGAGAGAGAGAGAAAAGAGAGAAACGAGGAGAAAGCGAAGAGAGTGGGGAAAGGCGAAACGCTAAATAAGAATAAAATATATAGGTCGCGGAGGGCGGGACATATTTCCAAGCCCGTAAGCTTTTCTTATTACGTTTTTTTCCAAGTTAACGCAAATCTATTACTCTTCCCCACTTTAATTGACAAATATTAGTGTAACTGGAAAAGTGTAATGCGATAGCTTCTGCTATAACTGTTCAATTACGGTGAGTCAAATACGTCTCAGCGATCAAGGAGCTTTCAGTTAAATATTTCAGCCAGCTTTCGCAGCTAGCACGTGTGCGCCTCAGAAAATGTTGCCCTCGAGCCTTCCGCTGAACTAGCAAGGATTGGAATGGGGTTGAAACCATAAGCGGGAGCTTCACGCAAGCGCCTATTGGTGATATCAGAGTGTTAATGTCAGTGAACATTCGTCTCTATTTATTTACTATTGAAGAATGCGTACATCGTCCATCTGCTTGCCACCGGAAATTTAGCGAACTGTATAATGATAAGTCTACGTATAGCTTCAAAGGCATATAATTAAACAGTAGCAGGGCCTTAGATATGACGTAGCCGTGTGATTGCGGCACAGACTGTGTGCATGCTTGCGGTTTTTTTATACAACCAAACACATGTCCATCTTGTTACTACCCGACAAAGTCGCATCAGCGAAAGTATATTTGTACACATTTTTGCTGCCATGTATCTACGCGTGGTGCTTGATTCTGTTGTCGAGAAAAAATTAATTATCCCTGCAGCGAGGAAGCTTTTGGAAATCATTTCAATGGATTACTCTCACATCAGGAAAATCATTTGCGCGAAGAATACTAATATCAGGAGTGTTGATAATATATCTATAATTATACAGTCCTGATTTATCAGGCCGAAAAAAACTGCCTTTTCGAGTAACAGCGAAGCATGCGTTGCTATTTTACGCCTCTATGTTGTATCTACCATATCGTCATGCACTCACATAGGAATTACTGATCAAAGTGTTTCTATTACAATACTCGATCCATTGTGTTCTTATGATGCTTAAGTAGGCTAACTAGCTAGCGTGTGTCGTCATACACAGTTCGGCCCATCAAAGAATTTCAGACCCTATGCTGCCACGTGGCTTTTACGTATTGCTTTCCGAAGGAAGGCCTAGATAGGAATATCCGTAAAGAAAACTTTTACAGCACTAATTATCGAGGGAATGTGACGCTAATTCATTTGCCGTGAATACAGGCAAGGCGCGGCAGCGGACGCGAACTGAACATGTGGCCAGTCACTACCTGCGATGTGCAGTCATAGCCGGCAGCGATGTGCAGATCCACTACCGAGCAGATGCGCAGGTCACTACCGCACTGCGCAGTCGTAGGGACGTTGTGGCACAACCGGCACAATCGGGTCACTCGCGCACGTGCCAGTATAACGCGCACGTCGCAGCACTACCGGCACGATGCGCAGGCACGTGACCGGCAACATGTGCAGTGCCTACCGGCAGCGATGGGGCAGCCAGCACTACCGGCAGCGATGTGCAGTCATACCGTACCGATGCGCAGTCCATAGCCGCAAACGTTCGGCATCTACAGCGCACGATGCCAGTCACTACCCGCACGATGGGCAGTTCACTACGGCACAGGGATGCGCAGGCGCACTACCGGCGCGATCGCAGTCACTACCAGGCACGAGTGCGCAGGTCAAACAGGGCACGATGTTCAGTACACTACCGGCACGATGCGCCAGCTCACTACCGGCACGAATGCGCAGTCCACTACCCGGCACGGGCATGTGCAGGCACTACGGCACGATGCGCAGCTCACTTACCGGGCACGATGCGGCAGATCACTACCGGCACGATGTGCAGGCACTACGCGGCACGATGCGCAGTCACTACCGCACGATGCGCAGTCACATAACCGCACGAATGCGGCAGATCATTCTACTGGCACGTATGCGGCAGTCACTACTACCGCACGATGTGCAGTCACTACCGCGCACGATGCGCAGATCACTACCGCACGAATGTGCAGTCACTACCGGCACGATGCGCAGTCAGCTACGCGGCAGCGATGCGCAGGTCACTACCGCACGATGCGCTGTCGATTACCCGGCACGATGCGGCTGAATTAACGCCAATTAAAAGTGCCATAACCGCAAATCCCAGCTTTTCCTTGCTCTTCCGCCGGCTTCGCCGCCGTGATCCCCCGTGATTCGCAACCGTGCTTTCCCCGTGCTTCCCCCGTGATTACCACGCGTGCTTCCTCACCGTGCTTCCCCCGTGCTCCCCGTGCTTTCCCCGTGCTCCGCGCCGTGCTTCCACTGTCTTCCCCCCGTGGTTCACCGTACTCCCCGTGGCTCCCGTGCTTCCCCCGTGCTTCCCCGCGTGCTTTCACCGTGCTTCCCATGCTTCGACGTGCTTTAACGACCGTGCTTTCACGGCTCTTCCCCCGTGCTTCCCCGTGCTTCCAACCGTGCTTCCCCCGTGTCCGCCGGTGCTTCCCCGTGCTTGCCCGCGGCTCCCCACCCCGTGCTTCACCGTGCTTCCCGCCGTCTTCCTACCTGGCTCCTCGTGCTTTCCCCGTGCTTTCCCCGTGCTTAACACGTGCTTCCCCCGTGCTTCCCGCCGTTGCTTCCACCAGTGCTTCACCGGCTTGACCCCCGTGCTTTCCCCCGTGTTCCCCCGTGCTCCCCTCGTGCTTCCAGCGTGCTTCCACCGTGCTTTCCCCTGCTTACCACTGTGCTTCACCGTGCTTCCGACCGTGCTTCCACCGTGGCTTCCGACGTCTAACCACCGTGCTTCCCCGTTGCTTCCCTCCTGCTCCCTCCGCGTGGCTTCACCGTGCTTCCTCCGTCTTCCCCGTGCTTCCCCCGTCTTCCACGTGCTCCACCGTGTTTCCAACGACGTGCTATCCAACGCGTGGCTTCCCCACGTGCTTTTCCCCGTGGTCCCGCCGTGCTTCCCCCGTGCTTCCACGTGCTTACACACCCGCGTGCTTCACCGTGCTTCCCCCGGTGCTTGCCCCCGTGCTTCCACGTGCTCCGCCGTGCTTCACCGTGACTCCGCCGCGTGGCTTACCCCCGCCGTGCTTCCCCGTGCTTCCCCTGTGCTTCCCCCCGTGCTTCTCCCAATGCTTCCCATGCTTCCACGTCTTCCACTGTGCTTCACTCACCGTGCTTCGACCGTGCTTACACTGTGGCTTGCCTCCCGATGCTTCTCTCGTGCTTCCAACCTGTGCTTCCACACAGACCGTGTTCCCCACGACCGTGTTTCCCTGTGCTTCCACCGTGCTCCCCCGTGCTTTTCTCGCGTGCTTTCCCCGTGGCTTCTACCGTGCTTCCAACCGTGCTTCAGCCGTGCTCCCCCGTGCTTTCCCCGTGTTCCCCCTCGTGCTCCCCGTGCTTCCACCAGTGCTTCCCCGTACTTCCACCCGTGCTTCCACCGTGCTTACTCCGTGCTTCTGCTCGTGGCTTCCAATGTGCTTCACGTGCTTCCCCACCGTGTTTCCCCCGTCTTCCAGCGCGGTGGCTTCCCCGTGCTCCCCCCCTGCTTCACCGTGCTCCCTCCGTGCTTATCCCCCCGTGCTTCGCCTGCTTCCACCGTGCTTTACCACCGGGTGCTTCCCCCGTCTTCCCCGTCGTCCCCTCGTGCTTCCCCGTGCTTCACCGCTTGCTTCCGCCGTGCTTTCCGCGTGCTTCCCCGGCTTCCCGCGTCTTAACCCCCGTGCTTTCGCACCGTGCTGTGCCGACCGGTGGCTTGCCACGCGTGCTTCACCCGTGCTTCCCTGTGCTTCTCTCGTGCTTCAAATGTGCTTCCACCGTGCTTCCCCCGTTTCCCCCGTGCTTCCCCGTGCTCGCCACCCGTGCTTCCACCGTGCTCCTGCCGGCTTTCCCGTGCTTTCCCCGTGCTTCCACGTGCTTCCACCGTGCTCCACCGTCGCTTTCCCACCGTGCTCCGACCGTGCGCGCCACTCGTGCTTCCCCCCGGCTTCCACCGTGCTTTACATACACGTCTTAACCACGCGTGCTTCCACCGTGCTTCCAACGCGGTGCCTTCCAACCGGCTTCCCACCGTGCTTACCCAGCCGTGCTTCCCCCGTGCCCCTCGTGGCTTCACACCGTGCTTCCCGCGCGGTGCTTCCACCGTGCTTCCCACCGTGCTTCCACGTGCTTCCACCGGTGGCTTCCCCGCCGAGTGTTCAACGTGCTTCCTCCGTGAATTCCCCCGTGCTTCCACTGTGCTTCCACCGTGCTTCCCCCGTGCTTCCACCGCACAGTGATTACTTGCGTTCACGTAGGAAGCGATGTATTACTTGTCGTGGACGCGATGCGGGCGTGATCGTCCGTCTGATGCGCGCGTCTGTGTGTGTAGGTGCGTGCATGCGATCGTGCGTGTGCGTGTCCATTTGTGTTTATACAGTTCCTACTGTAAGTTCGTATATGTGCGTATGTATGCATATATGTGCGTATGTATGCATATATGTGCGTATGTCTGTGTGTGTGTGCTGTTGTGTTAATTCCACGTTCACATTATCTGAGAGAAGTGCAATTATTATACGGCTATAGTGACCGCCTGTGTGGTCTAGGCTACTCCGCCATTCACATAATCACACTGCCGAGGCTTGAAATTTATTGTAAATCTAAGTAACGAATGCTGTAATCATCAATCTGATGATACGATTTCAGCCGATAATTGCTAAATTTTCATACCGTATAGATACACTAATTCGATTTAAGCGCCATCCTAACGATAAAAAGCATTACCGTGTGCGTATTCATATCCATATAACGCCCACGCTTTTTCGCCGCAAGGTATATAGCAGTAAGTATAACGAATGGCACAGAGGCAGCTAGTTTCTATTTTATTTATTTTAATGGGTGTATGCGTTTAATGCGTGTTATGGGTAGCACGTATGCATGTGCGCGTGGTCGCGTGGTCACGTTCGAAGATGCGAGTGCTGAAGGCAGTTGCATGATTAGAGTAGAATAATTAGATGAGCGAGTTTCTGACCTGGGGCCCGTTATCAGAAACTTTGTAAAGTTACGATTAATTTTAAAACTAATGTTAATGTTAAGAGAAAAGTTAATAGCGTTGACAGAAACCTATCGTAACTAAACTTACGATAACTTACGTAACTTACGATAACAGGAACTTCATCACAAGGCTGGTGATTGGATGAGAATCGATCACAAAATTTAGATTCATACACATTTATTGTACATCACAGTAATTTATGCATATTATGATGGCTAACCACATATAAATAATATTTGATGAAAAACGACGTGGTCATGAATTTATTCTGTACAACAAGACAAATTCTCACACTGTATAACGCGAGACGCGAGAGTCATGGCAAGCGTGGCATTCCTTTAAAACAAGAGAACAAATGCCATACGCCATTTGTAAATGTTTTGACACTTTTGTTTTGCTTCACGATCGGTAGATAATTAATGTTTTTGACGTGTTTTTCAAGAAAAACACATGATATTACTCATTAATATAAAATATAAGATCACAATAATTGTAATTCTTAGTCTAAATGTGTTATTTTCATCTTAATATTAAAGTTAAGGGAGGGTCTAGGATCTCTTAAGTTAAGAGAAAAGTTACGAAAATTTTTAATTCTCTTAACTTTACGAAGTTTCTGTCAACGTTCTAAGAGAAAAAGTTAATGTTAAGATTAATGTTAAGACTAATTTGTTTCTGACAACGGGCCCCTGGGCTTGCGCACGCATCATTATCATAGATCTATGTTAACAGGCAATCTACGCACGCACTCTTCGCGTGATGCTGACGTGAGTGAAGCACAGACAAACTGTGTGTCAGACTCAACTGCACTCCACACTTATCTGCCAAACGCACAAACGTCTGCTGTTCGCATTTATCAAGTAGATTTCATCGCCGTGGTCGCCATTGCGCCCAATGCCTTAGCCTGCACGCTCGCTCTATAGGCGTTTGTACTGGGACGCGAACCCAGCGGCACGTCAACGCGTCGATATTCGAGTCTATACATTAAATCAGAGCTTGACGATCGTGGATTGATTGCCCGTGATAATGGCCAGCGAGACTTGTTTATCTTGACATACTATACTATAGATTCAAACGCCGCGTGCATCTCCTCGAGCTTCAGAAATGCGCTGCGCGAGAGCAATTTTTTTGCTAGTTTAATCGATGAAATTGAAGATGGTTGTATGAGAGTGCATGCGGCGCGACGCGAGGCTGCGAGGATATTGAATGATGCTAATATAGATACGGTTATCTATCGAACGTTGTTCGTAGATATGTCATGTAGAGAAGTTAAGACACATACACAGTCACCCACCGTACGCACGTACGAGTGCTTATGTTGTATTGTACATTGTGCGTTGTAATTAACCAGTAGCGCTTCTAGCCAGGCGATGCATTGGCTTGTGTTCTGGCCTGGTGGTTCGTTGTTGTTTTGGTAATGACACGGGGCTAGCCCCGCCAAGGTCCGGTCGGTAATGACGAAAAACGGTCGGATTGAACAATGTACAAAACAACACTTATATGCACGGACGTGCGCGCACACGCACGCATGCACGCACCAATACACACAAGAACAAAATAATAAAACATATTATATATATATATATATATAAATAGAGAAAGTGGTTGAAAGAAAGAGGGAGAGAGAGAAGGGAGAGTGAGGTAAAGGAGAGGTAGGATGAGATAGATAGATAGATAGACAGACAGACAGATAGACAGACAGACAGACAGACAGACAGACAGACAGACAGACA